ATTTTTCTGGATTATGACTCAGTAAATCACATCACAACTGAAACCAATCGCTATGCTCACCAGCACTTCAACACACGAGTTAACTCCCCACTCTCGAGAACACAATTACAAATATGCCACACCAGATGAAATGTGGACATACTTAGGAGTTGTGTTCATGACAGAAATTGACAAATGCCCCGAAATTGAAGAATACTGGTCCACTAGGCCCCTATTTCACACTCCATGGTATGGACAAAAGATGTCTTTGTGGCGGTTCCAACAGATCTCGAAATTTCTTCAGTTTGCAGACAACGATGCATGACCAACTGACTGTGAAGACATTAGTGGGGAAATTTAGGAACACATATATCCCTGAAAAGGAAACTGCAATAGATGAGGGAATGATCGCTTGGAAAGGACGTCTTATCTTCCGAGTATATATGCCTGACAAACCTGATAAGTACAGTATAAAGGCTTATCTTGTTTGTGAATCGACAAGTGGATATATTTGGAATTTTGAAATTTATTGCGGAAAATCAAGACCTATAAAGGAATTAGTTGTCGATCTGCTGGGACCACAGCTTCTAGAAAAAGGGTATCATCTCTACCAGGATAACTATTACAATAGTGTAGAATTGTGTGAGATGTTATTACAGAGAAATACCTATGTGTGTGGTACCTTCAGATTGGACAGAGGAGCACCTAAAGAACTAAAGGATGACATAAAAAATTTGAAAAAAAAAGGGAAATTTGTGTTTCCTAGGAAGGGGCAGGTTCTCATACAGGTGTGGAGAGATAAAAGAGACGTCAAACTTATCTCCACTCTTCACACAGCAAAAATCGTGGAATCTGCAAAAACGAATCGCAAAGGAGAAAAAATATGCAGACCCGAGGTAACTGGGGACTACAATAAACATATGAGAGGGGTTGACAGGGCTGATCAAATGCTGCATTATTATCCTTGTTCCCGCAAAACTGTAAAGTGGACAAAGAAACTGGTGTTTTTCTTGTTGCAAGTGGCAGCATTGAATAGTTTCATTCTATTCAAAATGAACACAACAAACGAAAAATACAAGAAGAGAAAATACAAATTCAAAGATTTTATATTGGACTGTGTACAAAAAATGACAGAACCAAACAAACAGTGTGGAGAGGGAGAAGAGTCAAGAAATGAAGTGGATGATGAATCTATTGCTTCAGACTCGAGTGCAGTCACGCCTCCACCTGCAGCCTTAAAAGACCGCCAGTGAAGGACCCAGCAAATCGTTTAGAGGATGGCTTGAAAATACACAAAATGGTCATGTTCCTCCCAGTAACAAGAAGAATGGTGCCATGAGAGTGTCACATGTGTGCTAAGCACAAGATTAGAAAAGAAAGAAGTGTCATGTGTGCAAGCTGTGGTGTGGCTCTCTGCAAACTTTCATGTTTTAATGTTTATCACACGAAGAAAAACTATTAAAAAGGTATGAAAAAACATTTCTTGCATAAAATGTTGTCTTTTTATTAGTTCCTGAAAATTTCGTTTTTAAAAACCAATTTTTGTTGAAGTTATTTAAAAAAAAAGTAAACACGTGAATTTATTTACTTAAAGCTTAAAGGGTCTGCCAGGACAGGGGTGGCATTTAAATACCCTTTGCGCCAGTCAAAGAGTTAAGAGCTCTGCTGTTCTGTGAAACTGAAAGAGAAAACTAAAGGGCTGTCCATATTTGGACTAGCTCCTGATACAAGCTTTAGATTATTCTTCACTGCTATTTCACCGTACACCGCCAATAAAGACCAACTATATGTGATTCATCAACTGTCCAAACTTTTCATTGTTTTCAGGGTTGTTACCTGTTTCAGGTCAATTCTGCCAATTCACATGATGGCACATAATGCTCAGACCACCAAATGAGACAGCACTACCCTTCACTCTTATGTCCCATTATCAGAGGTATAGGTAAAGTGGTCCCTGTGCTTAAATAATTAAGCACTATGCCATGAAGGCGTATGGGGGAGTGGATGTATAGATCCTAATTTTCATGACCTTGGCACTAGCTGGAGGTCAGAGGTCAGCTTCACGCCCCTGCTAATTTACCCCTGGGAAAGAGTCACCAGTACCCATTGGAAAGGAGGGTGGGTGGACCCCAGAGCCGGCGTGGACGATATGGAGAAGATAAAATTCTAACCCTACCGGGACTCAAACTCCGACCTCTTCGTCATCCAGCCTGTAAACAGTCACTATACCACCTGCACTACCCCAGCTCACCGTCCTATTATTACGTGATTCATAAAACGATCAGACAAAAAAAAAGCCTTGATTCACTCACCAGTTCACATACAAGTAGAATTATAATCACGTGAAAGTCTACTGGTTGGTCACAAAATTATTTTGATGCCCTTCAAACGGCATCTGTGACAAGACATGAGACGGTGATATAGTTGGTACCACACAAAGCCTTTGTTGTGTGTAGTAATCTAACACAAATTCAGCATAGTGCAGTTCCTTTTTAAAAACTTAAAATTGCCTATGACCTCTTTACTTATGACAGAGGTTAGGCATATTATGGCTGCATAATATTGTATCATGTAGGCCTGGTACTGGGGAATGACCTTGAAACAAGCACTGGAATGACATCCAGTGCTAGGGAACAAATTCTTAAGAAGCAAGTATACACAGCCATTACTGAGTAACACCTACACAAACAAATGTGTAACCACGGAAATTATTTGAGTACAACAACGAATGGTGTTCCTATGTGGTCGGTGCCAAGATGTTATAACCAAAACAGGTTTGGAAGTTCATCAGAGTTGTAAGGGAGTCTCTGAAGAGAAGACTTAGTCAGTGCAGTTGAGCGTGGAAGCTGAAGAATCTCCAATGTTAAGATCTGTTATCAGGAAATGACTACTGATAGTAGACTGAAAAGACTTAGCATGTGCTGTAGTGACTTGTAAAGTGTGGAGATCAGCAATGGCACTATAATTAAGCATAGTCATGAGTTGTGTATTAAAGTGGTCAAAATAAATCTGATCAAAAATCCAAAACCTGTCGACAGTCACCCTCTCTCATGACAATATTAAGAAGATGAACTGTGTGACTAACAAGTGTAATAATCTTTCTTTCTCCATAATTTATAATAATTTTGTATGCAGGTGCATAACCCTTATAGCTGCCCATATATCATACACTTTCAAACCTCTGCTTGTTACTGCTAAGTGAACATAAAGCAATATAACCTTCCTGACTACAAAATACAATAAGGCACCAAACACAGCATATCTGACAGAAGAGTCAAACTGAAAGTAACAGGTTTGTTTATGACTGCTTTCTCTGCTCTGCTTTCACTTCCTAGAAGAGTTGCCTATGTTTAATGAGTAAGAATCAGTTTGTCTCAACTTATGGACATGGAGAGTCAATGCACTGAAAGGCAAACAGTGTCAGTGCTGTCCAAGAGTGGAACCTACTTCTAGACAAACAGGGATGTGGGGCGGATGTTTAAACTGATGTGAGACAAAAAACAGTTGTGTAGTAAAAAAACATTGTGCAATAATCTTGATCACAGATCAACCGACTACCCTCAGTAGTCTCTGCCACTGCCTTAAGCTTTGCTGGCTGTGTGTGAGCAGGGGCTGCAGAGAGTAAATATGGGAGGAGAAAAGAATCTAGCAATGCTGTCACAGGCAGTATACAGCATCAACCATTTTACTGTTATTGAGGAGTTGTGGATGCATGTAAAAATCCCAATGACTACAGAAGGGCAAATTCATGATGATGTAAAAATCTGATATACAAAAAGTCTTAAATCCACAGTTCCAGGCCTCAAGACATCTTTTAGGGCTAATCATTGAATCCGAACAAATTCTGTATGTGCAAGATTTTATTAACACTGTATGGATTGTAATTAATTAACCAAGTTAATGAACAACCAATTCCCTTAGTCAGCTGATACACTTACATTCAATAATAAGATGTGAGACCTTCTGTGGAAGGTTAGAGTCATAATACACAGAATCAATGGCCTATATTTTGAGCTATTCAGTGACAAACAAAACAAGAGATAAAAAAAAAAAAAAAGGAGACTGAAAATTGAGTGTATACTTCTGCTGAAATACAATAATCCCTTATTTTTGGTACAGTACATGTGCCAACAGCAAACAGTGCTTGGACACGAATGATTGCAAGTCTTTCACAGCATGTGCCGCTTAGCCTCTCCCCATTACCTTTCTACTCTTTAACTGTTTGTGCCTGGCTACTTGCCCAGAGACACTGCCCATATCTCATGAGTTGATGAAGCATAAAGTTTGTGCACATTACTTTTGAAGTTCTGACATGGGTCTGTTGAAATTGATAAGGCAGGCAGTATATGGGGGTGCTGATTACTTCATTGACTTGCTTATATTCATATCCATTTAATCATAAATCTTAAGTCAAAAGCTATGGGTATAAATATGATATTTAGTTTCTTTCCAGAATTTCTTTGTCTAAACACTGAGATGCTAAGTGATGTTGGCAAATATCATACTTCCGCTCTCATGTCCAAGTGAGGTTATGTAATATCTAATGTGATGAGAGAATAATTATATATACTGGACTAATCACTGTATAGACAGAGCAGATATCAAGATCCTGGAATTTACCTCAAATGACTAAGGACAACTACAAATAACTGCAGTCAGGACAACTGATGCTGGAGCTAAGGCTTGAAAAGAGTACCTCCCAAGTACAAGACACATGTATTACAAATCTGCTGGGACACCATTTTAGGCATGTGATACACAAGGATATAGTTACTGTGTGTCCTGAATACTGGGAGACAACACAGAACATGAACATTTTGTAATACTGTTGTGAATGCTTAAACAATACAAAGATGCATCCAAACCACATTCCATAGAGTCATTTTAAGGACATAAGGGAAGTGGACGTGGACAGCATTAGAACAGATCTTAGGGTAATGGATATGAATTGGTTTGAATGGTCTCAGGGGCATATCCAATGGAGGGCTCTAATATTAGTGGAGCTTCTATTAACAGAGCTGTTTAAATAGCTGTACTATTACACTTTATTTTGCCACACTGAGTGTCTACATGGTCTGTTCCAGTCATAAAAATGTGTCACAAACTCAGTAAGTACCCTTTATCTACTGGGCTGGGTTTTCGGTTTTGGCATTTTAGCTAAGAGACCCTGGATGTCTTTCTTTTCATCATATGATTTCCAGAGCTCAAAGAGATTGATGACATACCGAGCTATTTCCTGAATCTTTTCAATGTCCACATTCAGCTCCGCAAACCAGGACTTCAGGTCTTTCTGCAGGATCACACAGGCAATCTGCAGACAACCTGCATGAACAACACAGATGAAGTTAGCTTCAACAGCTGCAGGCATTACGCAGTGTGAAATGGCAGGAGGATGCGGAGAAAAGCAGGTGCTATCGCCACTGCTTGTCCAGAGTGACTGAGAAACATTAAAAATATCATTCAAATACATAGCATCCAAGGCAAGAATCAGACTCAGGATCTCCAGAATGCTCCCTGTGTTTAGCTTCATTTTATACAGGCATGAGGAGGAGGGTATGAAAATAAAGTTCCACACAATCTTATTTGGAACTAGACTCAGATCAGTTATTGGTTTCATGCTTTGGTTACTGTTACTCCCAGCAACTTACCAGTACACAGAAACAGCTAAAGAAGACTAGGAGTATGGCTGACCTGACTTGCCCACTTCACTGGATGCTGTATAGGTCCCATGCCCTCAATCCTAAATCATCCTTGACTGGCTGCAGGAAGCTGAAGATTTTCACTGGTGGGAAACCAACAGACTTGGATGTTCTGCCAGGACAGTACCTAGCTAATGAAGATGAATGTGAACCCAACATAGGGCAACAAATTGAGTGAGAATCATCATGGGGTAGGGCAATCATCACAAGAAGGTTAACAGCCCTACTGGTCACTGTAGCCATTCTGCTTTAATGTGGCCTTCAGAACTCCAGCTCATCAAGCAGGCAGCCCTACTTGAACAGACCTTCAGCCCTATGCACAAAGGTTGCAAATATGGTGTGCCTGTTGGATGGATGGTGGTGAGAGCCAGAGCTTAGGCGAAGCCTGATATGGTCAGTTTTGCAGTAAACTTTAGGACCCTGGGAGCCAGAAGACCTCCTGCAAATATACAAATCCAGGAAAGGAATGTGTGGCCATCTCCATCTGTCTCCATAATAAAGTGAATATTTCTATGTACACTTCATGTGATCAAGGAAGTCCTTCAGCTTCTTGGGCCTCTGAGGCCAAATGACAACACTGTCACCACAACCAGCAAACAGGCTTGGAAGCAGCTCACTCAAGTGCCATGTCTTTGAACTCCTCCCTGTACAAGATGGCAATCACTAGATAGAGTACTGAATCCAGAGCCATGCTGTAAGTCCTTTCACTGGACTGACTGCAAGATACAGGAGAAGTCGAAACATGGTGGAAGAGTCTCAGAATATCCTCCTCAATATGTCAACTTAGGATGTCTAAAACTTCCATGATGGGCACCCAGGTAAAGTGTGAGACTACATCAAAACTATGATGCCCTAGGGTCAAACACCTGAATATGATGACAGAATCTGTAGAATTTGCATAGGGGTCCCCAAGTGAGAACCAACCAAACCACCATATGTTCTGATGGGTGCAGGAAGTGCATGGTGCTCACAATGGCCTTTAAGGGAACCCCATCCTTTATGGACCTTCCAGAGTTTATAAAGTTTGGAGTGGCTGAACCCTGCAATCAGCACTGTCAGCACATACCTTCAGAACTCTTCAGTCACCACTGGGAGAACCTCAAATCCAACAGCACAAATCCTCTATAGTGAGGCTATGGGGAGGCAATGTAGAATCTGCAGATCAATAAAGCCAAGCTTCTACATTCTGTCCTTCCTCCCGAGCTGCAGGGACCAAAGCATGGCTCTACATTTCCTACAGTTCCCAAACCATATACATTCCAATACTACCAAGAGGATCTACTGATGGACCAGCTCCACCATACCAGACAGGAAATGAATGTGGTCTTCTGGGTGTTGCTAAGATTACACCTATATTTGGATGGTGAGTTGTCAGACTGCTAGGACCTGATGGACTGTATTATGACTGAGAAGGCATAAAAGATTGCTTCTGACAACAAAATAAGGCAGTATAGCAAATTCCAGTGCCTGCATAAGGGTCAGCAAAACTTTTCTTTCCAAACTGATGGCTAAAGACTGGTGTGAATTTCTGCAGTGTGCTTCTCAGCCTTAAGTAAAGGTCTAAATTATGCTGTGACCTCTGCCATGTTGCATACTGAGGACATCCTCTGAAGGGTGTAGTGGGATATAGCAGATGCCTTACCAAAGATGCCTGTGAAGCTCTAGAAGGGAACCATAAGGGCCCTGAAATGCTTCTGCACGCCCAAAGACAAGGTCTGGTATGGAAATGAAGTCCCATTCAGCCTTAAAAGCCAGACTGAACTCACAGTATTTTCATCTGACAAGGGCAATGCAACTGTTGTCCTCAACACCATGTACTATAATCTAAAGGCTGAGGGTATACAGGATACAATGTGAATATGGTCAAGTCAACACTGGGCAGACAGGCTGCTCGACTGACACCTGGGTTAAGGAGCACAAGCACACAGCCATGACACAGCACAGCATAAATTCAGAACATGTCATACACCTCCAAGACACCAGGTGCAAGAAACAGTTCTATCATGGAGGTGAGATAAAGCTCCATCATAACATGGACAGGGAGAATGGTTTCTGTTCAAGTAGGTCATGGAAACATCTCAACTCCTCCCTCAAGGAACACAGGAGGCCTTGATCATAGGTTTATTGTAATGTTATTCTCCAGGTGGTTTGATCTGTGCACACTGCCCAAATAAGAGTATGGACTCTGGGCAAACACACACCTAGTCTTCCTTGTCTGTTTCTGCAACAGCTTACTCCTTCACCTTCCTTTGTTTCTTCTACTTCCTCTTGTTCCTGTTATGGCCATCTGGCCTTTTCCCTAGACATACAACTACATATACAACTTCTCCCCACCTCCTTGGCATGCAGCCAGCCCTTTCCTGGGCCCAACAGGGATACTGTTTCCTTTGTTCCCATTGGCTCTCTCTAAGTTCCCTTACAATGGCCACGCTCCCACTAGCTCTGTCACAGTTTCTTTTTGACTTGGACTAGCCTATATCAGGCAGGATTCTCTGCGCATATTTCACTCAGCTTACTACACATTTCTGATATTTCTTGCTTGGCTTACTCTTTGACCCTTAAGATGAAGTACGAGGGTAAGTCAATAAGTAAGTTACAAATGGATACAGAACTTAAACAAATAAGAGTACTGATTTGAAAAATGCTCTTAGTTCTCAACATAATCTCCCTGTACATTGAGGCACTTATCCCATCATTTCATAAGCCCCTGAAAACCAGTAGCATAAAATTCTTTGCGCAAGCTGTCGGAAGCAGGTTGTGACTTCCCTTTCTACAGCTTCATTGTTGGAAAAATGTTCAGCCAAAAGACGAGGTTTAAGAGGGCCGAACAAATGGAAGTCGCTTAGAGCAAGTTCGGGGCTATACGGAGGATGCTCGAGGGCTTCCCACTTGAAATTTTGCAGTGTCTCATTTGTCCTGTTGGCAGTATGGGGATGCGTGTTGTCATGCAAGAGCAACACGTCTTTAGTGAGGAGTCTTGTTCACTTCCGTTGAATGGCCTTATGAAGTTTCCTGATGATGTTACAGTAGGAGGCGGCATTTACGGTTTGCCCTTGAGGCTGGAATGCAGTGAGCAGTATGCCTTCGTGATCCCAGGAGACTGTGACCATCACTTTCCTGGAGGATGGTGTCACATTAAACTTTCTTTTGGCAGGCGATGCAGGATGTTTCCTCTGCACTGACACATGCTTTGTCTCGGGCTGGTAATGGTGAACCCAAGACTCATCACCTGTGACAATTCGGGCTTGCATATCGTGTCCTTCATAGTGGTAGCGACTGAGATGCTGTAATGCCAGACCCATTCTTTGCACTTGGTGTTGTGGGGTCAGCATGCGCAGCACCCATCATGCAGACTTTGTGAAAACCTAACCTGTCATGCATTATGAGGTAGGCCATGCTGTGTGAAGAACCAATAGCAGTGGCTATAGTGTCTATAGTTACCTTCTCTCTGCTCGGATTAAGTCTTCAACCCACTGTACATTCACCTCTGTGGCAATCTCCGTTGGCCGGCTAGCCAGCTGGCACAGTGTTCATCTTCAATACATGTCCATCCTTCAGAGAACTTCTGCACTCAATTGTAAACAGCTTGACGTGACAGGCACTTCTCACCATAGATGGAAAGCATTTCTTTATGAATATTTTTTGATTCCATACCTTTTGCCCACAAAAATCGCACAATGGAGCGCTGCTCAAGGGTTGTACACTCACTCAGAGGCGCCAACATCTTGCGATGCTGTTTTGCTTTTGTAAACCTCAATTGTCTCATGTTGAATGTCATCAATTGCCACCAGACTAATGCTGCCATCTAGTGGTGATAGCATCAAACATATAGTACCCCACATCAATTTGTAACTTACTTATTGACTCACCTATGTATGTTTCCTGAATCATCAGGCTGTCTAACAGCATCACAACCCAGAAGGTGTATTTTTCATAGCCACTGCTGTGAGAAACTCAAAGCCAGCAAAGAACATCTTTTAACTCATCCTCACTATTTCGCAGAGAACACAGCACACCACAAGGAGAAATTTACATGAAATGGATACTTACTGTTCAAGCACTCCCAAACAAATTCACTTCATAAATTCAGTACCCAAATTCCATAACAATAAAAATGAATGGGAACCCACTGAAATACCACTGTTTCACAACAGAAAAACACATATCACCAGACAGGAACACTAGCATATTCCTACTTGCAGTTTCTGGAAAGCAACAAGCTGTGACCTGTTTCAACTATTTTTGTGAAAAATAATTGTAAATACAAAAAAAGGCCTAAGCAATGTTCTGCATTTGTGCTATCATCTGCAGAGAGAACTGATTCAACTCTCTTTAATGACCACCTGTCATCTGTTGAATGCTTAGCGAAATTCACATGAAGCCCTACTTGTACATGCTATGACCAGCATTTGTGTCTTGTAACTACATAACAAAATTCCTTGAAATGTTTTTTGTGTTTCACCTTCAACCTCTCAGTGCATGTCAGACAGATATTAGCTTGTAACACTCAGTT